TCTCTCTCTCTCTCTCTCTCTCTCTCTCTCTCTCTCTCTCTCTCTCTCTCTTATTCACAGGTCAGAATCAATACCCATGTTTTTTATGGTTAACGATGAAGCGTGCCGGTCGGGCTTTTGCAATGTCCAGCCCCAAATCTGAGATACTCTCATCCCTCTTTGCTGGTTAATATATCACCATTCAATACCCTGCAGGACACAGAACGTGCCCTCTGCGGGTACATGTAGTTGGCCGGTGCTCTTGTGTGGTTTGCTCCTTCTTCCCAGTCAAAGACCTGTCGCCCAAATTTCTCCTCTTTCTTTTTTGTGTTTGTTACTCTCTTGTAACACCTTTAATCTTCTTTATTTATATGACCTTATTGCGTGTTGTAAGTGATGTAAAACTCTTACTAAATCTAAAACTAAATAGCTGGTCTTTTAGAAAGTGTGTGAGGGGGTCCACATGACCAGACACTGCACTCAGAGAAATTACGACGGAAAGCGGGAGGCACGGAAAGTGAAGACAAACTGTTGAACCAAGTTAGATTCGATCCTCAAACCTCCATGAGCAGGTTCATTCACAATTCACAGCATTACAACAACTGGCAGTGTCACTCTCTGGGATCTAAAAACCTTTAAATTAAAATGCAGATGTTTTTACGCCCCGAAAGACACAATTTAGTTGATCATTTTAACCATATCCGTACGCCCTGGGGTCATTTTGTACCCCCGGGTTGTATTCTTCACACTTTAGAATACTTCTAGCATGAAGATTTCTTTGAAACTTTCAGTATGTATTCTCAAAAAATCATTTTGACCGACTGCTATGCAAAGCGTACGGATCGGATTAACGAGTAAATTTCCTCTTTGGAGAGTGGTGGCACAGAGTTCACCACGTCGTATGGATACGATAGTAAAACACGACGTACGGATAGAGTTAAGAGGCGGGTGTTGCCCTGTCTGTCAGAGCCAACCCGGTCTGAGAGGTATCCAATGCCCCAGCAAAAAGCTCGTGGGAACATCACCATCCCCCGACCAAATGTGACTACGCACAAATAATACAACACCTCAACCCAGGATTCAGTGGATCCCAGGTCACTGCGATATCCCTGGCAAAGACCTCGCTGACAGTACTGCCAGACAGGAAACATCGCTGCCGGGTCCAGGCCACCACATCGCAAAAGGAAGGACGTGCGCCCAGATAAAACATATTACCAAAGACCCTACTCCGATATCCCACACGCGGACGAAGGAAATATACGGGGCAGTATCCTTAAAACGGGAGGCGTAAACTAGATCCCGCTTCGACCAGTCATTGCTGGCAAAATCAGGACTGGTCACTTCTCAGGGCTGGGGGCCTACAAAAATAGAAAAGACAAAACATCGGACCCAATCTGTCCATTGTGCAGCGAGGAGCCCGAAGATTTGGAGCACTGGCTACAGAGATGCCGTGCTACGGAAAACCGATGGTGGCATCTCTTAAGAGAGGATTCAGCTGCCTCACCCGCTACCCAAGAGAGGCGTGGCCATGGTAAAGAGCACACTGCTCGGGGCTCCAAACAATTCAGAGGGATATAAGTCACCCACACACACACAACAACAACAACATTGATACTCCGAACTAATACATCACAGACGCCAGTTCTCTCTGAGATAAGCTTCTGACCAACAGACAAACTTGAACAATCATGAACGCTTGGCAATGTCGTAAAAGGCAATAGACCAAGTATTGTATGGTTAACAACAGCTCCTGCATTACCACCACTACCACCACCATCACCACCTCCACCACCACCACCACCACCACAACAACAACAACAACAACAACAACAACAACAACAACAACAACAACAACATCAACAACAATAACAACTTCATCTCTTACTTGTAACAATAACTGCAGCACCAGCAACAACAACAACAAAAACAATAACAACAACAAAGTTGAAAACAACAATAACAACATCAGCAACAACAGCACTAACAGAACACACCTGAAAATAACAACAATAACAACAACAACAATAACAACAACAACAGCAACAACAATCCCCTCCCTGCTCACCAGGTTCAATGTGAATCTTGATCTGCCGTTCCTGTGGTATATTCGCGTTCATTGGCTCTGTGTGTACACTCAGGTGTAGGTCAGTCTTTATCTCTGCTGGAATTTCCATGCAGTTTAGGTAAAAACTCACACCCTGAAAGGACACACAATAATAATAGACTTGAATTATAGCCTAGATCATACACTATCATGGCTGCAACTTTTTACTCTCTATAAAAAATTCGCTGCGAGGCGTGCACACCATTGTCCCCAGAATGAAGGACAAAATACCAGTCTCGCTATAGTCGAGTGCGCACGACAACCCCCACTCCCTTTCACCCTCCATTTGGCTCAAAACCGAGTCAAAAGATGCACTCCATAGTGCAGTTGCAGTGAACAATAACTGCATTAGAGAGCACAGTGCGCACAGCACCCTCCCCTCCTTTGCCCTTCATTTGGTTCCAAACTGAGTTGAATGGTGCACAGCTGCACGCCACAGTGAACTAGGACTGCATGGCACAAGAATGCACAGTCTAAGACGAGACGAAAAAAAATGCTGAAACCAAGAGAACCCCGCAAGCTGCACACATCTACAAGTGGAAGTGGAGCTTTCGAATGCTCAAAACGTAGCTAAACTCTTTTCTCTGTCAGAATAATTGGTCTTACTGGCTACAAAAGAAGCCAATTCTGTTTCGCTTTAAAATATTCTCCGCAGCGGATGAATAGGTCGTTGTCAGATGTGGACGGACGCACTGCTGCTGCTGCTGCT